TGCTCATTGTGCTATGAGCATAGCTCCGTTACGAAACGTTCCAGAGAGCTCGGGAACATCTCAAATTGAAAAGAAAATTGTTTTAAAAGATTTTGAGACGCATCGGCTCCCTGCAAGACAAAGTCAACGTTTTTCTCATATCGAAAAATCGAGAAAACTCGAAAAAACCATGATGTTCACCAAAGTTACATTTTTCTACTTGAGTTTCTCGTCGGAGCATTCAAATTACTTTTTTCTTATTCAACGATAAAAACTAGTTTAGAAAGGTTGAGGTGAACTGTTCACTTAAGAGGTAAGCACTTGTGCGTCATGGATGTCCAAATGGGTATGGCTCATTTTGTAAACCTATCTGGATTTTTGGACAAGGGCTACCTTTGATTCGTATGTTTAAATTAAAACTTTTTCTATGTCGTGACGTCGTTGAATTTTTCATTTAACTTCAGTTCAGGTCAGGAGACTTTAAAAGATCTTCGAAAAGTCAATAAAATCTCTTTAACTTTTCGGAAACTTTTAAATTTCTCCTAACTAAAGTTAAAATAAAAAATCCAACGACGTTACGACGTAGAAAAAACATTTCTCTATTTTTTGAAATCAACCCAAAATTTCTAGCTCGAAAAATGACGGCGGAATCCTGGAAGTACGAAATTATACTGTTTCATCAATAATTTAAGAATAACTCTTGGAAAACATGTGATAAGAGGCTGAAATTACTAGAATCACTAAGTTACCTCAAGATACACATTCTCTGACATTTTCATCAAGACGGAATATACCTGGAAGAAAATAGGTTTCTGAGTGGCAGGAACCCTTAACAGTTGAACCATAGTGTTGAACACACATAAAACTCACACCAGAGGCGCTTAATTCAAAAATCTCGAGAGACGTCAACGAGATCTCACTTTTTGTAGAACGAAATCGACTAAGATAATCTCGAAAATACATCACTACCAAAACTCGTTTCCCGATTAAAAACTATCACACTTCTATCTGTAGTGGGTGACGGTCGATTACTGAGTGGGTTAAGTTTCTGATGGAAGAATGATCAGTTCAACACTTTCCACTCTAGCCTCTCAAAATCATACTCATTTTATTCGAAAACTATATGATTATATGCGTAAAGAAGAACACAAAAAAGTTGACCAGTTGAAAAAGGAACGTAAAAAATTCTATGAGCAGTGCTCTAACAGAAAATGAACGAAATAAACATTTTTTAGTCGAAGAAGAAAAGAAAATTATTTCAATGGTTCGAGCCCAGTAACTTGATTAATGCACGGACGCAAAGAAACGAAAGATTCGGCAAAATCTTGTGTGGCATTTACGCAAAGGTGAAAAACAATTTTTCCTTTTAAGCTTTTTTCTGTTCTTCCAGTATCTGCTGATAAAGAAATTATAATGGAAGGATAAAATGTCAGTTTTGCTCTTCATTCATAAAAAGAAGAAATTTTGAGAAACAAAAGTACTTAAGGTGCGTAATAATGTATTTTGAAGAATATAACTAGTGGACAAAGAAGTAATTTTGAACAAATAAGCGAATACAGATTTGTTTAGCATATCTTTATTCCTGAAAAGACCGAAAACAGACATAATAAACTTCCCATGAGGTTAGTTTTTCGTTGGTCGGCTAACTGATCCGTCACAGCTCCTGTCGATTGCGACCAAAACTGCGATTTCATGAAATCGCAGTCAACATGGGTAAAGCCGCGTTTCGTCAATTCAACTTTCACGAATACGCATTCGCCATACTGGTGACTGGCGTCCACACGACATCGGTCAATACCTCCACGACATTCGCCAGTATCTGTCCTCAGTATACAAAATAGACATTCGTCAGTTATGGCGACTGTAACCGCAAAAAATACAAGTTTATTTTGTATTTTTATTGTATTTTTTGCAGTTACAGGATGAGCAGTCCAAGGCATACAGAATACAAAAATACAAAATAAACTTGTATTTTTTGCGGTTACAGTCGCCATAACTGACGAAAAATGTTGTAGAATCGAACTGTCAAATTGTTTATTTAGTTTAATTACGTTAATTCTTCATACTTTTAAGCTATCTAAATGCATCTTTTCAACGAATGATGAATTAACTTTTTCATGTTCAAGCTTTCATTAATATTTTCTTCTATGGAAAAGATCGTACAGAAGTCATAAGAATTTTGGAAAAGTATTTTGCTATCTTCCTCTTTCTTAATTATCGAATGTCGTAAAAAAATTTTCATCTCTTGTCCAAATAATTGATATTATAAGAAATGTATTCTCAGAATGCAATCGCAAACAATTATGTTCAAGTTGAACATTTTTGAGAGAGTTGGTAAGAGTTTAGACTGACATGGCCTAATGCACAAAGCTAATTTCTTCATAGACCGCTCGTTTTATTCTTACAAGTTTCTGCTTCCAGATTCACTGAAATCAGCATCCTGGATCTTTTCAGGCACTATCTGATGCTCAAAACAAAGTTTGTTGTAGGAAAATTGTCTTAGAGCACGCAATCGACTATATAGTCATTGCACCGGTGTAGGTCTATGGTACCGTTCATTACAGTTATAGAACCATACTATAAAGCAACAACAACAGCCGACTCACTAAACACACACTCATATAATGTATAAAAGAGAGCGAAACAAGTGAAAAAAGAAAGAAAAAAAAGAGATTGTGCCATTAATGGATTCTTTTCGTTTTACGAAAAGTGAATCCTCTTACAAAATGATTCTGAATGTTGCATTAATTCTTGATTTTTAAATAGATCGTAATTGTTACATGATTGTGAAATAACCGGTAACAGCGACACAGAAAGACCACTAGAGCAGAAACAAAAGCAAAAGAATATCATTATTTGGACAGATCTTAAGATAGAAAGATTAGATAAGTAGAGCAATGAATAAAAAAACACCAAGAATAAAATTTGTCGTTACTTGAAGAGAAAAAAGGTGGATTGATATCATAAAACTATATAGCACAGAACAGTAAAGCATTTTTAGAGTACTGTCATCGCATTCATATTATTAATGAAGCGATTTAGTATTTTAAATAATTTGGGTTTAATTGCAACAATCTCGGGTGGTTTAATTGCTGGTTCAACATTATATTTTACAAATGTTGAAGCACCATCGGTAATGAGACTTGGTGTAGAAGAATATTGGCGGTATATTCCCTTGATGTATTATCGAGCTGTGACACAGTTTGTTTCATTACTCTCAATATCTGGTTTGTCAGCATTCGGTCATGTTTATTATCATGGTAAAAATTTGCAAAGTAAAAACATTTGGTTAACGGCTGGTAGTATTATGATTGGAATTATGCCATATACTATAATATTTATGATGCCGACACTAAAGATAATTCGCCAGAAAGAAGAAAATATTGTGTATTCATTAGAAACAAAAAAGAATTTAATAAATAAATTAACTCGCTTACACTTGCTAAGAACAATAGGATCATGCGTAGCTTTTAGCCTGATGGTTTATTGTATCGCAAAACATTAGAAATAATCAAACACATTGTACAGAAGTGTAATACAAACACGAAGATTTTTTAATTGTGTCGATATTATTATTTCCCTAAATCATATATTAGTTATTTTGGAAGACATATAAACGGAATGTTGGTGGAACGGTGTCTCTTGAAAAACTTTATATTGATTTGTATTGATTTATTTTCTGATACATATCCATGTTTTAATGATTTGTCATCCATCACTTTCACCATTTTTCTGTAGGTTACAGAGTCCAAATATGTTTCTCATAAATAATATTCAAAATATTTATCAGCAAATAATTGCAAGTCAAGGCTCGCAAAGCAGAGGCTAGTAGAGAACTAAGCGTTACTAGAGTGTATAATTATTCTTTTGTATTCATAATAAATCCAAAAACACTATAGTATATCCCCTGAGTATACTCAGGGGATATACTATATGTGAGAACATCTGAGATCTGTCTGTAAACTTACTCTGGAGCTGTGCGCTGACAATGAACATTTTGGGCTTTTCTTGTAAATTCCATAACTTTGCAAAGAAAGACCATGTAAAGATGGGCGATATCTCATTTTGATCAGACTTTCGTGGACTACAATCCTGGCCTGTTAAGAGAAAGTTTTGGGATTTTCCGAGGTTTCTAGAAAACTGGATCTCCAAAAAACCGCTCGAGAAAGACCTAGCAGCCCGTCTCATATAGATATTCGAGGTCAGCGTGGTCGATAGCCTACATTCTACTAGGTTTGGTGAAAAAAGCGATTGGGTAGTTAAATAGATTCTCTCGTAAACCTACACACTCTCAACAGCAATCAGATCAGGACTATCAGTTGAATAATTATCCATACGTGCTATGTAATTACCAGATATTCACACACATTCAGATATCACTCTGTCGTATCTACAATACCATATACACAACAAAAACCAAATAAAAAACTGGACAAGTTCGAATCAGGCATATTTTGAACTTATAGTCTGTTCTAGTTTCCTGCTGAACTCTGATAAAAAAACAATATACAACGAACACCCCATACCAACATCGTGATTTATTTCGACCTATAAATTCTTGATGACGATTATTTTTTTTAGTTTATTATTCTATTTATTTTATAACTATGTATTTCGAAATTTTTAGTTGACTTTCAGTTTTGGTGAAAATTAGTGTTTACCTCTTAAGAGAACTGAACATCTCTTTCTAAACCAGTTTTTATCGTTGAATAAGAAAAAAGTAATTTGAATGTTCCGACGAGAAACTCAAGCAGAAAAATGTAACTTTGGTGAACATCATGGTAATTTCGAGTTTTCTCGATTTTTCGACATGAAAAAAACGTTGAATTTGTCTTGCAGGGAGCCGATGCGTCTCAAAATCTTTTAAAACAATTTTCTTTTCAATTTGAGATGTTCCCGAGCTCTCTGGAACGTTTCGTAACGGAGCTATGCTCATAGCACAATGAGCAAAAAAGGTAACGCTATGACATGTCGGCCACCGGAATTAGGTGGATAAGCCGCTAATCACTGGTCTTCTATTTTGGCACGGATAGTAGTGCAACAAACATCAAAAAAGAAGGAAAACGAACGGAATATTCACATAGTGGAGATTGCCAGTCCTGATCTCGAAGACTGTTAAAAAAGAGAAAACCAACTAACTTTCTTAATCTGAAATATCAAAAAGTTTGTTTTACCTAGACCAGCAAATTCATTTCCGATAAAGTACTACTTTTTCAGACGAAAAAAACTTTATTTTCTCGACTGTACGACCGGTTAAAAATTTCTGACCGGACCCACCGATACTAGTTACATCTCTGGTCTAAACAGTGTGCTAGATGGAAATCTATGAGATTAATTTTTTTAGAATTCTTCTTACGATCAATTATTGACAGATATCATGCGCGAACCCATGCGAAAATATTTATGACTAGTTTTCGTCAAATACTGGAAGTGTTGGAAAAACAGATATTTTGACCTCTAAGAACTGAGCGTTGACTTTCTAGACCAATGGAATAAATGTCACACCATACATATATAGTATGGGTAATCATTCATTTCACTTTAGAAAATAGAAACTTGTTCTCACATAATTAAGTCCACAGCTACAACAGCAGCTTAGATTCTCGAACAAAATTTTTAAATCTTGAATAAGCTAGACAGAGGATATTTCTCAAAAAACACACTATAGTGAGTGAGTGCGTATGAACTGACGTGATATAAAATAGAAATTCAGTTGTTCTCCATTGTTTCGGAACAGTGTAGAACAGAGAGACTCACAGAGTCGTTTCATTTCACCGATGTTTTTCGTTCTAAAAACAGACACAAAAATGAATGCCAATTATGCCAAAAGTGACAACCTAAAAAAGGTGTAGATAAGCACAATTCATTGCCATACTACGAACATCGAACAACTACACTTCCATTTAGATTCGTTTTTGTATGTGCTTCTAAATAAGTTCTTATAATTACCAGTGCTGTTCGGTATTATATACAAAATGAAAATTGATCTAAAAACAGTATTTTTTCAGCAGGGAAAAGCGAACGTTAATCTGCACGGTTTTTCACCGACGAGATAGTGTCTATCGCAATTAGGTATGAGCCATAACGGTAAAATATTTTTTTACCGAAGTTTACCGCGGCAAAATTTTGAAGTTTTTACCGTAAGCGGTAACGGTAATAAAATTATTTTTACCGAAATTCTATTTTTATTTTTACCAGTACTATTCTGAATTTTTTACTTTTTCCTATTAGCAAAGAATAACATACAGTACAAAATATACTAAGACAAATTGCACAAGCCTGCACGCACAATGATTTCAAACAAGATATTTTTATTTTTTGCAATCGAACAGAAAGAGAGAAGGTATACAAAAATGTTAAGTTCTATAAAATGTATATGTGTGTACTGGATACGAAAGGAAAAATCATCATTTGTTCCCCGTTCTTCAGTCCGATTATTATCTTATAAAAACTCTGTAGTCATAGGTAAATTACCGTCGGTAACGGTAAAAAACTTTTTTACTGAAGTTTACCGCGGTAAACTTTGTGATCTTTTACCGGTTTGAAATTACCGCGGTAAAAATCTGAAGTTGTTACCGGAGCGTCGCTAACGGTAACACGTTTTTACCGTTACCGCTTATACCTAATCATAATAGATTCCTGCATAATTTGTATTGTTCTAACTATGAAGATGATACAATAAACTTGAAGCGCTAAAATTGTTATTGTATCAGTTGTGTTCGCTCGAAAATGTCTGATTATAAGTTAAGAAAATCATTCCCTAGAAAACTTCATTAGTATTTTAAATAATCGACAGAAAGTAAATCGTGTAGTAGTTTTATTTTATTACATGGAACATGGGAGGTTTTATTCTATCGAAGTGCTGAGCAGCAGACGACTTTAACAAGCAAGGAAATAATTGCTCGTTGTTACCAGTATACTGAAGATTATCCATAATTTCACACTTGAACATTATTAAAAAGCTTTATCGATACAATAGGTGGTTGGTTCAAATGATGAAATTAAAATTGATAATTTATATAAGGGAAGCCGTCAAAACTATGAACGAATCAATCGGATCATTCGGATCAATCGAATCATTCGTAGAATAATGTAAAGCGCTCGTCTGTGATGTTTGTATAGGAGAGAAAATATATAAAATCTGTCTTTTCTTATCCATTTTATTCATTTTTTCCAATAGATTACTTTTTATTAACTCTTACATATAACACATCAAAGAACACAGTAACTGTGCTAATTAATTATAGGTAATATATATATTCTCTTTGGTCTTATCACTTGCTAATATGGTCTTAAACAAATAGTAAGAATGATTTTTCGCCACCGTTTTCATAGTGGATTTGTTCAGGTATTACATAGACTCATTATAGAGTCGACTATGAGAACTATACTGTGGAACGAAAAGGAAAGAAACAACATATGAAAGTTTGATCATTCTTTTGTAAAGAAAAGTGGTTTGGGAGTCTAGATATTAGGAATAGTCAATTACGTTGTACATCGAAAAGATCTCACTAAGGTGACTGTGATTTTTACTCAAGGATCTTCGTGTTGAGATTTCACGCTTTCCTACAGTACAGTACAACTTAGTTCACCTTCCAACTTCAAAGAAAGCCATCTGTTTGATCTTTCTTCCTTCTTCGCGCTTGTAGAAGTGAACA